AAGGCGCCTATGGCGGCACACCATCAGGCGACACCGACTTCCGCAAAACATGGGATCTCGAAGAATATGCTGCTAAGGGCAAGGAACGCGAAGCAAAGGAGAAGGAAGAGGGCAAGGCGCGTTACGAAGCCAAGCTCGCGGGCAAGAAATACTACAAGCCTTTGACCGGCGACGAAACATACACATCCGCAAGACGCCATGTGATAGATTTTACACAACAGATTGGAAAAACGCAGCTCGTCCCAGGGGGCGCAGGCGTGGGCAAGCGTGGTCGCGGAGCTGGTCAATACTGTGAGGCTTGCGACCTCACGTTCAAGGACAACAGACAATACATCGAGCATATCACTACACCACAACATTTGATGAACACGGGTCAAACGATGAATGTCAAGCGTGCAACGGCAGAGGAAGTCCATGAACGCATCGAAGCATACATCAGACGAAAAGAGGATCTCGAGAAGGAGAAGCAGACTAGCCTGCACGAGCGACTACAATTACGAGAAGAAGAGGCCGAAAAGGAGGCAGAGGAGCGGCGGAAGAAGAGGAGAGACGAGATGGAGAGGAAAAGGCTCAAGCAGGAGGAGGCAACTAAGGTGAAGACAGAGTACGGAGAAGACGTGCGCATCGAAGGTGAGCATGACGAGGATGACATGATGGCTTCGATGGGCTTTACTGGATTTGGAACGTCAAAGAAGTGATGGATATATCGACAATTTATTGATACCCCATGTTCAACATGGCCTTGTATGACGGGCTTGGATCCTCAATGGATCGATCAATTATCCGACTACCTACTCATAGGTAGTAAACATGAGCACTGCAAACGTTGTCGATTAGGTTGTTTTGATAAAAGATAGGGCGTAAAAACATAGAGTGTTCAAATCTTTAATATACAAATGGATCTTTTGAGGCATATTAGTGTCAGCGTCGGATCGATGGTTTGCAACCAGTACTTGAGCTATAACTTTTTTCCCAGTATAGATATGTAGCTGTATTGTGAATTGCTTCATGCGCAATCCCGTTCATTCTCGACCAAACCCATGAGCGGGGCCGTTAGCTCGGCTCCCCCACCACTCCGACTTTCGATCCACTACTAGTACTCACTTTAGGTATCACCAAGTTACATACTGCGGCTGTTTGATCCCACTACAGAATCATTCGTCTTGCATACAGTCCTAACGCATTAGTTCTAGCTCCTGAAACCTCTCTTGAGTCCCCAGCTACTGGATATAGCCCAGAACAAGGTCTTGACAGGTCGACATAATGGCTGCGAGTTCTGCGCCCGCGGCTTCGTTGCTGAAGCGACAGCTTAAAGAGATGCAGGCGGGCAAGGACCTCCCTGGGATCTCGTGCGGACTCGTCAACGACGACAACATCTTTGAGTGGGAAGTGATGCTCATGATCAGCGACGACTGTAAATACTATGGCGGTACGATCAAGCCCCTCGCCCGGCTTTCCATAACCCCTCATGACCTCGGGCGCGTAGCTAACCTCTTGTCTGCTTGTAGGAGGAAACTTCCGTGCCCGTCTATCATTCCCACCGAGCTATCCGCATATGCCTCCCTCTCTCACCTTCCAGGAGCCAATCCCCTTTCACCCCAACATCTACGAAAACGGGAAGCTCTGCATCTCTATCCTGCACCCACCCGAGGACGACGAGTACGGCTATGAGGATGCATCTGAGCGCTGGAGTCCTGTTCAGACACCTGAAAGCATCCTGATCAGTACCATCAGCCTCTTCCACAGCCCCAACGACGAGAGCCCTGCCAACGTAGAGGCTGCGCGCATGTTCCGTGAGGAGAGGGAGGGCAAGCATAAGGATTTCCGAAGACGCTGCAGGAAATGTGTAAGGGAGAGCCTGGGAGAGGATTAAGTTAGTGGTTATATATATGAAAGGTTTATGGGTGTAGGATGCATGAGCAGTTCGGCGTAAGGTGGCTGAAAAGGCCGCGACGACATCATCGGTGTTTTGAGCGGAGTCATGGAGCTTTATCGTGTTTTTATCATCATCGAGATCAATCGGCTTCTCTATTCCGCATCCCTGAACCATGCATGGATGGCATTTAGTTATTGGCATCTCCTATCACCCGCAGTATCTAAGTGCCTTCTTCGCCAACAAGTCCAATGACCTTCCCAACTACACGATCCCATTCATGATCCCATCGTAGGGCGCCTTCGCTAACAGCACCTTTCTTCAGCCAGGATAGTTCTTCGTGTCCTGAGAAGCCCAATAAGCGTGTAAGGATATCGGCCAACTCGGACGAGGTCTCGAAACCACACCCGTTCTGCCCCTCCTTGACGAGTTCGCTGAAGCTTTCAAAGGCTGAGTAGGCTGCAACAGGAAGGCCTGCGCCAAACATATCCACCACTTTCATAGGGAGATCGACGCCTGAACTAGACTTGTGCAATGAAATGCCGAGATCTGCTGAAGCAAGCAGCGAAGCGTAGTCTCTGGTAGATAGCCATGCTGTTAAGATGCGAATGCCGGGCAATTTGCCCTCGTCCTGAAGCGCCTGGATCCGCTCCAGGTAATGTTCCTTCTGTGGTCCCTTCCCAGTGATGATGGCAAGGATGGGCGCAGTCTCTGCAGTGCTGGCATAAGACACGAGAGCATCGAGAAGAAGGCCAAAGTCCTCATCCGGCGTCCATGAAGTGCTACTAACAATGAGACGTACTGCACCCTCGACGATATCTTTCGCAACCGATTTCGTTTCTGCAAGCCGAGACAAGAACGCGTGACGCTCCTTTGTTGAAAGGATAGGCTGGAAAACCTCGGCAGGTCGGTCATGGAGCGTGTAGACGGAACGCTTCACGTTAAAAGGCTTGACCTTGAGTTGACGAGCCATAGCATCGGTGACGGCGAGGTTGACATCTCCCAAATAGCGTCCGAAACCAGTTTCGTACCAGCGATAGATAGGAACAAGCGGCTTATAATACCACTTGTTCTGTGCCAGGATGGTGTAGCCGTAGTTGTGCCAATCTACTACAAGCTTGCTGCCACGAAGGAGAGATACCATCAGTGCAACATGAAATGTGGGAATGGAGGGAGGATTCTTGTAAAACGTCAGTTTCTGTAACATTCGAATACTTGTAGAGCCTTATTTAACATACTTGAATGATTATCCATTTCGCAGCAGGGGCATCGTACATCAAAGTACGGAACAAACCCCAGAACTGCCAGAGGACCTTGAGAGGAATATTGAGAAAGAATGGCAAAGTGCCCCAGCGAAGTACTTCTGGTTGCGGCGGGAGCGCATACATGTTGACTCGCGGGTTCCCAATGAGATCAGGGTGTCTTGAGGTTTCTACTCAGTATTAGCTATAAGTGAACTGCACGAATCGAGACAACTTCTGACCTTTGAAACCGACGATATCAACTTGACGCCCATGCTTAGCGACACTCATGGCATGATATTGCATTCGAGGACTGCGGCCAACATCACCGACGACGAGGACTTGGATGTGATCATCTTCAGGCTTCTCAGCTGGTTGGTAGCGAGTTGGTATTAAGCCAACGAGACCACTGAGCAGCCATACAAGGACGATACAGCTAATACCGCCCGCGATGACTGAAACAAAGAATACGGTTGACATGTTGAGAAGAAGGAACCGACAATCATGGCATGACGTTTAGGCTAATCGGGTTGGTGGTGCTCTGTCGTTACTGGGTTATCTTTGTTGGTGTATCCGTACGTGTTGGTTGGTGTTGGCCAAGGCCACTTTGCATTGGCCAGGTTGAGGTTCCACAGAAATCTACTATGCGCACAGGTAAAATGCACACTCAGCACTTCTGGACCGTGATTTCGCGGCTTGAATGTAGGTTCTTTGACAGGGGGCAAAGCGACCCATAACAGATAAATCGATCTTTATGTTTGGGGAGAATTAACCCTAGAAGATGATCAAACGCAAAGGCGATTTGGCAATGAGCGATTCGATTGGTACCTTTGTAGAATTCTGTGGGAATAGACAGGTCTTTCCACAACCTTTCTTATCCATTCCACGCTTAAACTTTCTGTCAGGGAACCCATTAGAAAGCATTGTTAGACGTTCCAGACTGTAGGGGAGATTACAAGGGTGGGATGTGTCAAAAAGCAACGCATCAGGCTCTTCTTATCAGAAACGTCACTGTACGTCTTGTCAACATGCAAAGTAAAAAGACAGGAGATTATCGCATCGCATCATATCACATTGAGATGAAGTTCAGGGGTCAAGGTGCAACGCAACGCAACGCTGCTGCGGGGTGCCTTTCGTGACTGGCCCGGAGGAGCTAAAGCATCAAGGGCACTAACTTTTAGCGGGCAAGCAGGCCGCATGCAGGGGGCAGACCACCCAATTCAGCAAGTAACCAGTCACAACAGACCTCTTCCCTGGAATCCCCAGCCAAGCTACAGGCCCTTGAGGGCCGATGCATGATCCAGTATCATCCAGTAGTAGGATCAGGAAGGAGCGATTTCAGTCCAAGCATCAAGTGACTCTGAGATTCTATCATCTCGGCAACTGGATAGTAGTAACTTGAACAATTCTTTCACCGACTTCAAAGTAATTCTGCAATTGATCCAAAGACTCGGTAACTTTCTTCGCCCTGAGCTTTTTTATCCATTGGATTTTAGGTCGCAATTCTTGGCCCCGTCGATCGCTGCTCATTCGGGTTCTCTCTACTAACTTAGCTCCACGTGCTGGAGTCTCCTATCTCTAGTCCGCCACAACCACCGACGGCTCTTTCACGCCTCCCACGTCCGTCTTTGAAAAGGATCCGTGACGTCCCACGATCCCTTTCTACTTTTGTTTCCTTATTAGCGACCCAGTATAGCCTTTTGTAACGCGGTCCTTTCACAAGTACAATTTCTCATTCGACTGATGACGTTGCGATTGGTTTTCGAAGAGTCGTAAGGACTCTCCCACGTAGCGAACGAATACTTGCGCCGTCCACCGCCTTCGAACGACTCTTCCAGCAAGACCGAACTCTTGACTTCAGCACAACCGTCGAGCCCTGAAATAAAATGGCATCTTCATACGCCCTTCCAACGTCTTCTTTACCGCATGCGCATCAAACCCATATGCATTCCCACACACGAAGTACATCTCAATCGTCGCTCAATAACCTCAAACGACAGTCTACTTTCTCCAACGGCAACCTACCCTCAGTACCTGATGAGGACCATGGTCACGACGCTAACCATGACCATGGCGACGGAAACTACATCGCACACTCACACAACCCGAGCGTCCACAAGCATGGACACAGACACTCCCGCATGTCCAACACAAGCGCATCCATTGCCCGCGAGAAGCTCCCTCCAGCGCCATTGAATACACTAGAGGGTTGGACAGAAGAAAGGACACCCGGAGGCAGGAGCATTCTCTCGCCGGGTCCTGCATCGGCCAATATGACCTATTCTCCTCCCGATCATGCCCACGACCATCCTCATGACCATCACGACCACCAGCACGATAATTCACACAACCATTCCCACTCCCACTCGCATGACCATTATCACTCTCATTCTCATTCTCACGACCATAGCCACAGTCATGACCATCATGGCCACTCACATTCGCGCGACGATGACAAGGGCAAAAGATCAATGTTCACGAGGATGATTCTTCCGTACACAACAAGATTCCCCATTCTAAACGCCATATTAATTGAAAAGGATTCCAGACGGATCTTCTACTTTATGGCGTATGTGTTGACTTTTCCCCAGGTCTGGAATGTTTAGCTAATTTAGATGTTCGTACAGGCTCAACTTTTCGTTCATGGCTGTCCAGGCATTTTATGGCTACGTCACAGATTCACTTGGTCTTCTGAGTGATAGTATTCATATGTTTTTTGATTGCGTGGCGCTGATGGTTGGTTTGTTGGCTGCTGTCTTGAGCAAATGGCCTCGAAGCCAGCGGTTCCCATATGGCTTCGGCAAAATTGAGACATTGAGTGGATTCGCCAATGGCATTCTATTGATGTGAGTAACTTTCGGGCCGTATGCAGGTACGTTGCTAATTGCTGCGTAGGCTGCTCAGTGTGGAGATTGCTTTTGAGGCGTTCGAACGGTTGTGGGAGGGAACACAAACGAAGCGACTGGGCGAGCTATTTATTGTAAGCACCATGGGCCTGCTCGTCAATCTGGTTGGCATGATGGCTTTTGGCCATCACCATCATGGACATGATCATGGTAGCGATGGAGGCGGCTGCCATGGTCACGATAACGAAAACATGCACGGCATTTACTTGCATATTCTTGCCGATACCTTGGGCAGTGTGTCAGTTATTGTGTCGACAATATTGACGAGTTTCTGGGGATGGGCTGGATGGGATCCCCTGGCGTCGTGTTTTATTGCCATTCTCATCTTCCTTTCTTCCAAGCCTCTCGTTTACTCGTCTGCGAAGCGACTCTTGCTTAGCATCCCCGAGGATACAGAGTATAATCTACGCAACAGCCTCGGTGGTATCCTGAACCAAAGAGGAGTAGTTGGATATTCCTCGCCCAAATTTTGGCGAGACGATCATAGTGCTAGCCCGACTGGAGGTAAGCTCCTGGGTGTTGTACATGTGGTGGCAGCGAGAGGTGCTCCTTTGGAGGACGTTCGGGATCGAGTGCGTGAGTATCTTTTGCGGGAGGGTGCGGACGTCGTTGTGCAAGTTGAGCGAGAAGGAGATAATAGCTGTTGGTGCAGTAGGCGAGGGGTCCCAGCGCCACCAGCAACACCAACATTGGCATCAATGAAGGCATCTTAGAGAGGGAATATGTTGCTGCAATTTGGCGAGATGAAGTCTGGTCTTGGGATAGAACAACCGATAGAGAGGATGATAGATGCGGGAAACACACCAAAGAGGAGGGGCATTATCGCGAGACAGGAAGCACGACTTGCGAGCATCAAAGAAGAACATTTGATTGTTGGATCGCATGAGGAATTCTAATGAGCGGCATTTGCCGCAGACGGTATCAGGGTCCTGACAGCATCATGAAGAGCACAAGATGCCTATGCGTTCCCTGGATTGGATATTTACAAGGAACGGATCTGGCCAACAAGGTCATGAGCCATACGGAGGATCACATGTATTATTACTGATATTCTTAGTGGGGGTTTCCTATCACAGAGAAGGTGTTGTAGAACTGAAAGAGGGTGTATATCCAGCAATAAAGAAGACTTGGACTATTTTCTGACAATCTATGGATCTATTACCAGACTTGTGATGATGTTGTGCAGGAAATCAAGGTGTAAGTCAGCTATTTAGAGTGGTTTGCATGTGATAATGAGGTCTACAACAGATGGAAATGGAGATTGTGGGGCTCTTCTCCAACAGCAACGACCTCAAGAGCCTAATGAGAGTTTAATGTCAACATGAGGGATCGGGATTGGATCTGCAGACAACCATGGATGACTTCACTTGAGCCAAAACCCCGAATCCAACTCAATTCCGTCTGCCCGGGCCGCCGCAACCTTTCCAGCCTTACATTGACTGCCTACTCGAGTGATCAGCCACACCATCTTTTCTTGTTTAAGAGAGCGACTGGCTAAACTACTGCATAGGTAGTGTCGGCCCTCATCTTGGAACCCCACGAGACTCGGCTCATTACATGTGGGGAAAATACAGAGCAGAACTCATGATGCGAACCCCGCGAGCCGAAGCCGAGGCAAAGAAAGCCGGGGCCCGGGGTTCGTAGAATTTAATTCTTGGGTATCATTGCCCCGGAAGACCGAGGGAATTTAAAAGTTGGAGAAGGATGGCAGCTATAGGATCACCATTGCGTTTTGATAAGAACACTTGTATTAAGATATTCTTGATTTTATTCTTAGAATTCCTTCAACTATAATTAAATTCAACTTCCTACCTACTGCACAAAGGTGGAAGGTTTCGATAGAAGCGTCTCAGTTGAAACGACGCCAATCGAATAGAAACATAGGAACAGACGCCTAGTGACGTATTGAGTAGATGGCTAGTAGCTATATCATCCTTCAGTTTTCATTCTCCCAATCTCTTTCTCATTTTCTTTTCCATTATTTCATATTCTTGGAGCTCCATTGGTAAACAACCCTTATCTGTACTTACATCATTTCCCTACAAGCTGTGAGCTATAAGCTACACCCTCCCCTAGGCCGACCACCCCACACTCCCACTCCCACTCCTCCGCATTCGACATTCCGAGGTTCATTTATTCATAACCCATAACCACAGCTTACACCCTTCCTCACCTTCTCTCTTGTTCCTCCTTCCTCCTTCCCTCGGTAACACTCTCCTCTCCAAACTCACCACAATGTCCTCCGCCGACGCTCCAGACTCTGCCATCGAGGCCCGCGCCGCCGACAAGCTCAAGAACATCGCGCCTGCTCCTGAGCCAAAGGACGAATCCAAAGCCGGCGCATCATCAGGACTCGCCCAACAGGCTCGCGCTTTCGCTGCTGGTGGTTTCGGTGGTCTTTGCGCTGTCGTTGTCGGACACCCTTTTGATCTTGTAAAGGTCCGACTTCAAACCGCTGAGAGAGGCGTCTACTCCTCCGCTGTCGATGTTGTGCGCAAGAGTATCGCTCGTGATGGTTTGCGACGAGGTCTCTACGCTGGCGTGAGCGCTCCTCTCGTCGGTGTTACTCCCATGTGTACGTCCATCTCTATCTTCCCTTAACAACCCCGCACAGTTAATTAACCCTGCATCAGTCGCCGTGTCTTTCTGGGGTTACGATCTGGGCAAGCAAATCGTCGGGGGTGTGGGCGAGGTCCCCGCCGAGGGTCTCACGATCGGCCAGATCTCAACCGCCGGCTTCATCTCCGCCATTCCCATGACTGCCATCACCGCCCCTTTCGAGCGCATCAAGGTCATTCTCCAAGTCCAGGGACAGAAGCAGCTCGCTCCTGGCGAAAAGCCCAAGTACAACGGTGGCGTTGATGTCGTCCGACAGCTCTACAAGGAGGGTGGAATCCGTAGCGTCTTCCGCGGCAGCGCTGCTACCCTCGCCCGTGATGGTCCCGGTTCTGCTGCTTACTTTGCCGCCTACGAGTATATCAAGCGCAAGATGACTCCTGTTGACCCCCTCACTGGAAAGCCCAGTGGCCAACTCAGCCTTACAGCTATCACATGTGCTGGAGCTGCTGCTGGAGTTGCCATGTGGATCCCCGTCTTCCCCGTCGACACAGTCAAGTCTCGTCTGCAAACCTCCGAGGGCAATGTCACGGTTGGTAGTATCGTCCGCGAGCTATACGGAAGAGGAGGTGTCAAAGCCTTCTTCCCTGGTTTCGGCCCTGCTCTAGCCCGTGCTGTGCCCGCCAACGCTGCTACTTTCCTCGGTGTCGAGCTGGCTCACCAAGGTATGAACAAGTTCTTTGGTTAGATGAGTACGGAATGAGTCTCTGAAGCATCGTGCGTGTGTGTGAGAAAAAGCTACCATTGATTTTTATGGATTTCAATATGGATTATTGAATGAATGCTGGATGAGGATTACAGCGTATGGAAGGCGTTGGTGGGTGGGCATGTCATGACTTGTATTTTCGTTTTCACCCATGAGTGGGTGCATTTTGGAAGCAATATTCGAGCGCTGAAGCATACCTTCTGTTTTCAAGTATATAGACCATGAGCAGTTAGATCTGGAGATTAATTTCTGGTGTGGTCCATAGATGAATGCATCACCGTTCCTTGGATCTGTTGGGTCCAGGCTTGAAGCAGTCACTAGTAGACGTCTATGATACTCATTTTATCGTTTTCTTCACTACGAAAGAACGCATTTGAGCAATCTTGAGCCTTCAGTGGCACTCTATCATACAAAACTGGGACAATATTGTACCTTCCTACCCATGTACCACAATACCTTGTCTCCCTGTGCGCCAAAAATTATCATGTGCCTGAACCCAATAAACAAAAACAACCTGGAATAACTCAATGAAACATATTGCGGCCGTTTAAATCCACCCCTTCCCCAGGTATCAATCCCAGTGCCGATTATTTCGGCATATCGTTTGCATCGCCAGCCTCCCTTATTCATATTGATGAAGTCCCGCCATTGCGCCGATGCTATGAGTAAAAGACAGACCTGTCTGTCGCCGAGTACTGAAGCAAATAAACGACCAACAGGAAGCAACGCGCGCTAAAACATTGCGAGGCGAGGGGAGATGAAAGTGTTCCGCCGTAATTCTCAAGAAATGAGACCATTCACATCGTCGCCCTATCAAAGGGTGAAATAGAGCAGAATAAATATAGTAGGAGATCGGAAGCGTCAAGTTAAGCACGCTCGGTAGTCGTCCAGCGTCGTTTGGAAAGACTCACGTCGCGGTATCGCTCTGCCTCACCAGGAGGCCGGGGAAGGCCCCAAAGCCCGCCTAGGCCGTCCCCAAGCTGTCCAATCGGGACCTCCTCGACCGGCTTATCGTGATCATGTAGAACGTCTGTCGTGATTCGGATCGGGCCCGATAGTATGGGACCCCGAGGGGTGGCCTTTGGGGTGGTCTCTCCGCTGGAAGGAAACGAGAACGAAGTCAATGAGGAAAATGCGGCTGGTGGCAAGGCCATAGTCAATGAGTTGGTCGATTTAAGCTCGAAACGAGAAGGTAAAGATGATTGAACGGGGAGGCTTGAGGCGACCTCAGTGGTCAAGGCCCAAGGCTCATTCTTCTTGTTCTCGATCGTATTGTCGAAACGGCCAAAGTTAGGCAAGACGTTATCAAAATCTTCCTTATCGGAAGCCTCGTCACTGCCATCATCCATCAACCTTAGGGACGAGGAACGAGGAGTCCATAAGCCGAACGAAGGTGTGCTGGCGCTTGGGGAGCTACTTCTCGGAGTTGTTTCACCCCTTGGCGCCGTTTTTTCTGTTAATGCCGTTGCCGCTACTGCCGCTGCAGTACTAAGCTTAGGCACGCGGTTTAGAGGTCGCTGAGAGCCCGAAGTCCGGCGTATCGATGATCCAAAAGCCGCACTGGCTGAAGCACTGCGACTGCCCCCAGGTATAATAGGATCCGAGTAGACAAAGGACCCGATAAGTGGGCCAGGGCCCTCGGTATCACTGATACTGGGCTTGCGGCCACGGATAGTGGTGGGGAATGAATCAGCCGCGTTCGATCTGGCAGATACTGGAGTCGAAGCGGTCGAGCGCAGGTGCTCCGTGCTTGCAGACATTCGAATATCGTAGATCTGATGGGGCGAAACATGAGGCTCCTTTTCGTGGGCTGATGCGGCTAGAAGAGTATGGTAGTCGGCATCTTGTTTTCGTTCTGCCATAGTGATGGATGCAATGCCGACATCCATAAGCACAGGTTGATGAGTGATGGCCCCGATCAGAGCATTGCAGCCAGCACCATGAGATACAAGGATAACAACAGTCTCCACATCCTCATCTTCGGAGACCGCCTCGTTATTGTCAGTTCCTTCCTGGGACGCTCCAGCAGCTTGTGTGACCATCTCATCAGGTGCATCAGTCGTAGCATACCAATCCACCATCTTCTTGAGGCCTCGCCGAAACCTCTTGTGCATGTCTGTCCACTCTTCTCCAAGCTGGCCACCATCTCCAAAATCCAGTGGAGCTCTCATCGAATCCCATTGGTAATCCACCACTACGCACTCGTCGCGCGCATGGGCCACAAACCCGTCAGGAATCTTTCCAGAGCTCGAGATGGCGTAGTTGGGCTTTGGGACTGTGTATCCCTTCTTCGTTAGTTGGTTAGCCAGCTGGCCTGTCAAAGCTGCCGCCATGGCTGAGCCTGATGAGTTTTCCGCCGAGGAGCCTGGTCTCATGGGTCCAAGAGACGGA